TTGCCTCAGGGCTGTCTCCCTCTGGACTGAGCACTTCCCATTTCCAAACACTTCTAGGGGCCTCCTGAAATAGAGCAAAATGACCTTTAACATATATATATATATATTTGATCAGCTGCCTCTTGCACGCCCCCAACTTGGGATCGAGCCCACAACCCAGGCATGTGCTCTGACTAGGAATCGAACTGTGACCTCCTGGTTCATTGGTCAATGCTCAGCCACTGAGTAACACTGGCTGGACATAATGATCTGTTTTTTAAAAACAATCATAAGGTGCTGGTCAAGATGGCGGTGCAGGTAAATGTACTCAGAAACCCTCACAACAATATCAAAATTGCAACTAAACAGAACAACCATCATGCAGAATCACCTGAAATCTAGCTGAACAGAAGTCCTATAACTAAGGATATAAAGAAGAAGCCACATCGAGACTAAAAGGAGGGGCAGAGAGTCAGAACAGGCTGGTTTCATACCCTTGTGTGGCAATCGGAAGGGATATCTCGGCTGAGGAGGTTCCCGCTAAGGAGTGAAGGGTTCCAGTCCCACATCAAAACCCCCAGCCCAGGGTTTGAGTGCCAGTAAGTCCCCAATAACTCTGGCTGTGAAAACCAGAAAAAGAGATTGTGGCTGAGTGAGAGGAAGGTGCTGGAGTCCCAGGTATTCCTCTTAAAGGGCTCAAGCACAGATTTACTTGGACTTTCTTCCTCTGAGCTCCAGAACTGGGGCATCACTCTGAAGGCACCAGGGACATACAGAGAGAAACTGAATTGTATGGCATCAGGGCAAGAGCTGGAGGGAGAGCTTTATCCTAGACCCGTGGTCAGCAAACCACAGCTCACGAGCCACATGCGGCTCTTTGGCCCCTTCAGTGTGGTTCTTCCACAAAATACCACGTGCAGGCGCGCACATACAGTGCTATTGAAACTTCGTGGCCCATGTGCAGAAGTCAGTATTTTGTGGAAGAGCCAGTATTTTTTGGAAGAGCCACACTGAAGGGGCCAAAGAGCCGCATGGCAGTGCTGGCAGAGGCCATTGTTCTTTTCCTGAGTCCTCCCCCAACAAAGCCAGAAGGTAGGTACTATAAGTCTCCATCAACCTGACTAACACTATTTGCCTTGCCCTAGTGATGCCCTGAGACCTTGCCCCAGTCAACTTTTGGACCCATCCAAGTCATTTCCAGTGGCTTTTCCATACAAACGGCTTGTCTTGGCTTATGCTTCAGACTTTCCTAAAATTCCTCAAGCGAGCAGCATCTGGCCTCTGCATGTCATCTACCCCTCACTAGTTGATCCCAGGCCTGGCACAAGTAGCAGCCAACCTTGGTTTGCAGCTTGGCCTGGACTGGGTACCTGCAAGCCCAGCACAAGTAGCAGCCATCTGCAGATCATTTTGTAGCTCATGCTGGGTGGCCCCAAGTAGGGAACAAGTGGCAGCTGACCTTGGCCTTCACTTCCCAAGAAGCACCAGAGGCAGTGCACCCAGTGGACAGCTTCAGACGACACCAAAACACCACCCAATCATCGCCACAAGCAATACACTCAAAGGGTGGACATGACGGGTACCAAAGCCCCACTTAAGTGAGTCCTGCTCCATGAGGTCAGCCCCTGCACAGTCAGTCCTCCATTGTAGTCATAGCCAGTCCTCAAAACCACTTGACCTGGGAGGGGGCTGAATCTCTCCCATTGAGGTGCCAACAGCCATCAAGGATAAACTACACCAGGACCATGCACACAGCATACATAGGGCACACCTGCAGCACCCAGCTCTGGTGTCTGGGGAGGCTTACCACTGGGCCCTACATAAAGCCACTCTAGCAAGTTCAGGAGACATAGCAGCCCCACCTAATACATAATAACAAACACAGGGAAGCAGCCAAAATAAGGAGACAAAGAAACAAGTCCCAATGGTTATAAGGATGCTCAAGGAACTTAGTGCAAATGTCAACAGCATAAAAAAGGATATGAAAACCATAAAAAGAACCATCAGAAATAAAGAATACTGAAATGAAGAATAAATTATAGGGAATCAGCAGGGGACTAGATGAAGTAGGGAATTAAATCAGCGATTTGGCAAATAAAGAAGCAGAAAACACCCAATCAAAACAGCAAAAAGAAAAACAAATTTAAAAAAAATGAGAATAGTGTAAGGAGTCTCTGGGACAACTTCAAGCATATCAACATTCGCATCAGGTGGGTACCAGAAGGAGAAGAGAAAGAGCAAGAAATTGAAAACCTATTTGAAAAAATATGACATAAAACTTCCTTAACTTGATGAAGGAAATAGAAATACAATCCAGGAAGTACAAAGAGTCCCAAACAAGATAAACCCAAAGGGGCCCACACCAAGACACGTCATAATTAAAGGTTAAAGACAAAGAGAGAACCTAAAAGCAAGAGGAAAGCAATTAGTTACTTACATGGCAGTTCCTATAAGACTGTCAGCTAATTTCTGAACAGAAGCTTTGCAGGCCAGAAGGGATTTAAAATATTCAAAGTGATGAAAAGCAAGAACATGCAACCAAGATGACCCAGCAAAGCTATCATTTAGAATTGAAGGTCAGATAAAGAGCTTCAGCCCTAGCTGGATAGAGCATCAACCTGTGGGCTGAATGGTCTTGGGTTCGATTACAGTCAAGGGTACATACCTCAGTTGCAGGCTTGATCTCAAGCCTGGGTTGGAGCATATGTGGGAGGCAAGCAGTCGATGTGTCTCTCTCACATCGTTGTTTCTCTCTGTCTCTCCCCCTCCCTTCCACTCTCTCTAAAAATCATCTTGGGAAAAATATCCTTGGATGAGGATTAACAAACAAACAAACGAACAAACAAAAAACACAGCTTCACAGACAAGACAAAACTAAAGGAGAAATTATTAAAGGGTCTTCTTTAAGAAAAAGGAGAAAGTCCTGCCCTGGTGGCTCAGTTGGTTGGAGTATTGTCCTACACACTAAAAAGTTGTGGGTTCGGTTCCCAGTCAGGGCACATACCTAAATTGTAGGTTCAACCCCCCATCAGGGCATGTGCAAGAGGCAACCAATCTCTCTCTCTCTCTCTCTCTCTCTCTCTCTCTCTCTCTCTGAAAATCAATAATAATAAAAAACCCAAACACATATCATCCAGTGAGGATTTTTTAAAAAGAAGAGCCCTGGCTGGTTTTTCTCAGTGGTTAGAGTGTCAGCCCGCAGACCCTAGCGTCGCAGGTTCAATTCCCAGGCAAGGGCACCAAAAAAAGAAGAAAAGGATAAAATATATGAATAGTAAGATGGCAATAAATACATCTCTATCAACAATTACTTTACATGCAAATGAATTAAATGTTCTGATCAAAAGATACACAGTGACTGAATGGATAATAAAACAAGCCCCTTACATATGCTGTCTGCAAGACCCTCACTTCAGATTGAAAGACACACACAAACTGAATGCAAATGGATGAAAAAAGATATTTCATGAAAATGAAAACAAAATAAAACAAAAAAGCTGGGGAAGCAATACTGATGCCAGATAAAATAGACTTTAAAACAAAGGTTATAAGAAGTGACAAAGAAGGGCCCAGCATTTCTACTTCTGGGTATTTATCCAAAGAAATCCAAAACACTACATCAAAAAAATACATCCATATGCTTATTGCAGCATTATTTACAATAGCCAAGCTATGGAAGCAACCCAAGTGTCCATCAACAGATGAATGGATAAAGAAGTGGTGCATATATACAATGAGGTATGACTCAGCCATAAAAATAAAAAAAATAAAAAAGGAAATGTAGCTATCTGCAACAAGATGGGTGGGCTTAGAGGGTATTATATTAAGTGAAATAAATCAGACAGAGAAAGACAAATGCCAGATGATTTCACTTATATGTGAAATATAAAAAACAAAATAAGCAGAATAGAAACAGACTTACAGATACAGAGAAAATTTTGATGGTTGCCAGATGGGAGGGGGGTTAAAGGGTGGTTGAAAAAGGTGAAGGGATTCAGAAGAACAAATGGGCAGTTACAGAATAGTCACAGGGATGTAAAGTACAGCCTAGGAAGTATAGTCAATAATATTGTAATAACTATGCATAGTACCAGATGGGTACTAGATTTACCAGGGTGATCACTTTGTAAGTTGTATAAATGTCTAATCACGAGGTTGTACACCTGAAGCTAATATAATATTGTATGCCAACTGTATGCCAATTTAAAAACAAAAAATAAACAAAAAACCTATTACAACCAATGATTAAATGAAAACTTAGAGTAGCTTTTCATTTGAAAGAGGACTAAGCAGAATACGGTAGGGGAAAAGGAAGAAGTAATGTTAGAATTTCAGTTCTGGTATTCTGAAAGTGGGGGGCAGACACATTTGTGCTTGGGTTTCCTTTTCCAGCTTTCTCAAATCACACTGCTTACTACCTGAGTATTAGCTCTCTGTTCATTCATGGGCTTTTGTGTTTTTGTGTTTAAAGAATTCCATTATCTAGGACCACTTACATTCAACAATTTCTTTTCTGCAACTTCTTTTATCTTTGACCACTGGATGGGCAAGTAAATACCCTGTCTGTTGTATTCATTGTTGAATCCCCACTGCCTACACAGGGACTGGTACATGGATATTGCTCAATAAACATGAATGAATGAATGAGTAATCAGAACTAGAATATTCTAGTTTCAACATGTCATTAAAACATCTGTCATTCAAATGCATTTTAAGTCAGGTTTGCACAATGTTCAAGACAGGTTGTCCTCATGGATTTGATTATTTTAACTACCAGCAAAAACTTATTTTTTTATTTGTAAGTGAGGATTGTTAGTGTATTTGGAAGAATACAACTAATATATATACATATACACAATCGTGAAAAGGAAATTCTGACTACAGTCAATTTCTTCCCCCCACCCCCGCCCCAGATTATAGTTTATGGAGAGTCTCCATTAGGTAAAGTTTAGCCCATCCACATGAGTTTACACTTGATGTGAAGAATTTAAGGGTGTATTTTATATTTTTCTTTATTTCAGCAAGCTCCAGAAGACCAAGAGGGATATCAGATGGCTTCAAGGAGTGACTGGTGAATGGTTTGAAGAAATTCAAAGAAAAAAGTTTTGCAATGAAACAGATGTCAGCCAAATGTTAAAACAACCCCTTACATACAGGCTAAGGAAGGGGATGGCAGAAAATGGTGAGAAAAATTTTACATCCCGTTTGTTGTTGTTTTTTCTTATGGCACAATATTGTAGATAATGGCTCAATGGCTCTTGACTCTAACCCATTTATCTTTAGGACTATTTTGAAAGAATATGATACAAAACTGTCATAACACACACAATGAAAAGAGTGAACTGAAAATGTATTATAATGTCTGGGGTATCTGTTATTAGAATCAGGTAATATAATAATAGTGGTTAAGAACACAGACATTAATATTTTTTAAAGCCCTGGATTCAAATCTCTACCCCGTATATATTCTCTATTCTATCAGAATCCATGTGACTCTGTTCAAATTACTTATTCTCTATAAGCCTCAATTTTCTCATCTTTAAATGGGTATGAAAATTCTTACCTCACAGGTGGTTGTGAGAATTAAATAAAATTATTTGTGTAAAGTACTGGGCTGGAACACAGTAAGCACTTAGATTAGTATGATGATGATGCAGAAGGAGAAGGAGACAGGAGAGGTGGGGAAGGATGGGATGGTGTAGAGGAGCTGCAGCCCTTCTGGTACCTTGGTAACTTAAACCCTGCAAACTCCAATAAATATCTTCTGTGGACAGTCTAACTATGTGACAACCAGCATGTCACTTGCCTTCACCAATCACTTTTTTAAAATCTGTAAATAAGGATAATAAAACCTTTCACAGAACTATAATGAGAATAATAAAGTGCATTAGAAGTTATAAAATATGTACTATAACAGTATAAAGTATCTTTCTACTGATAGTCACATTGACTACTTTTGCTTATATGTGATTAACATCAGTGACATCAGAAAACATGTAACAATAATTCCAAACTTACATATTGACAGTATTTTATAACTCCCATAATAAACAAATACATCTAAAAAGACCCACATTTCAGATATTTAGATTAACCCCATATATATACTGAAAGGGTTAAAGAGAATAAAACAGGGCAGAGAGAAACTTAACTGTGCTTAGCAGATATCTTGCAGAAAGCTTGCAGCCTTGAGCACAGCATAACTCAGATAACCAGAAGACACCTGGCATGGGAGGAACCAAGGATGGACCAGACCCTTACGTCAGCAGAGCGGCTTGCAGCCAGCAAAAATTAATAAAAACCTATCTCTCCCTGCTCTCTTCTCTGATGCCTTTCTCAGTCTCAGCCCACTTGCACCCAGGTGTCGGGAATAAAATCTCTTTTGATACATTTTAGCCTCATGTCATAGGTGCACGACCCCGGCCCAACTCTGAACCTTTCATATACTATGGTGACTTTCTCCTTACCTTGAATTCCTCTAATATTTATAAACTCAGCATGCCCAAAAGATGGTGTGCTAAAAATGTGCATAAATGACTTTGTATGTTGCCTTAGAATTTTTAGTACTCATATGTAAAGCTATATGCTATCTATACATCTATATTCTACATATTTATATTGCATGCATATGTACATATAAACCATATATGTAGCAATATATAGGGAGATAGATTCTTTACTTTAAATGGCTTAATTTCCTTTTCCTTTCATCTCTTTGATATGAAAGTTACATTGTACCTATCACGATGTTTTAAAATACTAAAATAAAAATTTCTGAAGGACAGGGTGGTTAAGAGCCACATGAGAACTGCATGAGGTCCCCAACACCTAACCTTAGGTTTTCTTTATTTACTAGAGGTGTTGTGCACGAAATTCGTGTCTAGGGGGCGGTCCCTCAGCCCAGTCCGTATCCTCTCACAATCCCGGACTCCTCGGGAGATGTCCAACTGCCGGTTTAGGCCCAATCATCCCTGCAGGATCGGGCCTAAACTGGCAGTTGGACATCCCTCTCACAATCTGGGACCACTGGCTCCTAACCACTCACCTGCCTGCCCTCCTGATCACCTCTAACCACTCTACCTGCCTGCCTGATCGCCCTTAATTGCTCGCCTGCCTGCCTGATCACCCCTAACCACCTCTGCCTCGGCCCCCACTGCCGCAGCTTCATCCAGAAGGATGTCCAGAATGACGTCCGGAGGTCGTTTGGCTGTCCGATCTAATTAGCATATTACACTTTTATTATTATAGATTTTTTTTTTTTAATCCTCACCCGAGGACATTTTTCCATTGATTTTTAGAGACAATGGAAGAGAGAGGGAAAGACAGATATCGATGTGAGAGAAACCCATTGATTGGTTGCCTCCTGCCCAAGCCCTGACCAGGGCCTGGACCAGGGAGGAATGTGCCCTTGACTGGAATTAAACTGGGACCCTTCAGTCTGCAGGCCGACGCTCCATCCACTGAGCCAAACCAGCTAGGGCCACCTCACCTTGGGGTTTAGATAGCCATGGGGAAGACAGGCTGAGTAAATTCACAGGGCTGGTGCAGGGGAGGTTCCCACGTGCTCCGCAGTGCACATGGATCTTCTCTACTCGGCAGAACCATCAGAGGCACAGGACTCCAATCAGGTCCTGAGGTCTCCATGTGGAGATGCCTGCTGCACCTCCAGACTCCAGAGAGAGCGGAGGGAAGAGAGAATAAAGCCTAGTTCCATGAGGTTCGTTTACCTGGAAATATTTTAATGACGCAGAATTTTTACAATTTTCTTTTAGATCCTCTGGAATTACAAGCATCCAGATCTAAAAACACACCTACTCCAAGAAACCCAACACCCGTTCCCTCCCGGCTGAGCTTCAAATCCTCATTTGCTTCCCTGTTCTCATTCAGAAAACCCAGGAAGGACACTTTAAAGCTTCAGTCACTGGGACAGAAAGGGTGAGTCAAATTCAGGTCATGTGACAGCTCATTAGTTACCTGATCCCGGAGGCCGGCAGCCTGTGTGTGTTCAGAATGTTAATGTTTGCTCCCAGAATTTAAATTTAGATACTAACGCAGGAAACAGGACTTAGCTTGCAGAGGGACAAAGTCCTTATGAAACTTGGCTCACCTGAAATCCCACTTCTAACCAACTGCACACGTCCCAGGTAATAATTACTGACAATTTTCCCACTGCTCCAAATGCCTGGTCTATGCCTTGGTCCGGCAGATAGACTCAAATCAAAGCGACTTCTTCCTGGGGGAGTAGGTGTGTCTGTGGTGGCAGAGAAAGATGGGGCACGAAATGAGCATTAATGAGATAGGCGAAGGGACCCGGGCAAATCAGAACCGTTGCGATGCCGTTGCCCAGAATTTAAACTTCAGGTGAAGGGGGGCGGTGGGAAGCTTTGGGAGCAGTGGAGGCACAGCCCCAGATGGCTCCTGGTTTAGATCCGTATAAATCAGGTCTACCTGACTCATATTGCTGGATTGTTTTCTGAAAAGCAACCAAGACTATTTGCTTCCGTGCAATTGAGCTGACTGCTAAATATTTTCAGCAAGCCTTCCTGGTTAAAGAGCTTCCCACCCTCTTAAGGTGTTGGCCTGGCGCGTGGTGTGTTCCGTGTGTGCGTCCAACCATTAAGAGTGCATTGCAGTGCTTCGGTAAAAGGTGTTAGAGGTCACTCTTGCAGAGAAACAATAGGTAGCCAGCAGCTGGTGGCGGGTGATGAGGCTCCTGGACTCAGGAGACAGTTCTGTCCCCTCCTCTGGGGTGGATGGAAGGCTCTTTGCTCCTAGCTTTCACCGGAGGCTCTTTTGTCTTTGATGAAATAAGAAAGAGCTGAACAAGATGTAGATTTACGTGACTGTCTCCACCAGAGTCACTTACAAGCAAATTCTCTTCAAAGAGGTGAGTCGATTTGTTGTTTTGTGTGTGTTTTTTTTAAATGTTTTAAACATCAGTCATTCTCTCATTTGGGAAATTAAAATGGAGGAGTATTTCCTTTGTAGCTAACATTTCTTTTAAGGAGAAAAGAAATCATCCTAATGTGTATTGTAGCTGGGACTTGTGATGTAATCTGTGTTTTAAGTGATTTTCTTTTAAGGCAGAGTTTTATATCGCTGAATAACCTAACATTAGCAAACCAGGAAAAGTTGAAAAACCTGTTAGCTCTATGGACAAGTTATTTCCAAGCTCAGATTGCAAGTTACTGGAAAAGGGGATCAAAGAAGATAAAAGATCTATGATCTTCATTCTGGGTGGCATGTGTCTTTGCTATACACCGAACTGAAATAAAAACTGAAACTCCTGCAAAATTCTGTTTAGCAACCATCCTTCTCATATACCAAAATGACGTGTAGCTTTCTTTTAACCAGATGAACTGAAACATGTAACACAGCGTGCAGAAATTAAACAGATTTCGTGTGTGCTTAGCTTTAAATATATTTTACTTTTTTATCTTTAAATATATTTTACTTTTTTATCTTTAAATATATTTTACTTTCAAAACATAATTAGGAATAAATATTTATTAGTTATGCTGGTGCGAATGTCATGAAAGCACTGTTTTTGCTCCTAAGAGGTTTCAGAGATAAAATGTAAAAATATGTCCTTTTTATTTTTAAATATCAGTTTGACCTAACTATTTGGATATAAGTCCTGAACGTGTACAGTTAAGGAAGTGTTTTCCTATGGTAGGAATATCCGTTCCAAGGGACTCTTTACCCTTAAGTAGAACTGAACTTTCTTTGGCAGTTCCGATCTTTCTAAATACAAAATTGACCTCCAAAATACAGACTCTGGTTCCGGAGCTGCTCCTTGCCTCTGAGTGCAGCAGAGGAACTGGCGCAGGGCCCCGGGGACGTGCAGTCATTCGCAGCCGGTTTCTACTTGCTGAAGTCATCAAGGTTTGACTTTGTCACACTCCTTGCTCTGGAGAACAAGTCAGCAAAGCAGTTTTTAGGATTTTGCAAATCACAGAAGGAGAACCAGCCTCTCTAGACAAAATCCAGCCTTCTGCTCAGCCCTAAAAGAGTTGCGTATCAGAGAGATTTCTTTTCCTCTTTTAAGGTATGGCTTAACTGAGCAATGACACTGGATATGGGGGTAACTGTCCCCATGGCGGGGGGGGGGGGTGAGGGGACGGGGACGGGGGGTGAGAATGGACTTCATCATTTTACCAGATATGCTTGTTCCTTCTAGAAAGGCCCAGCCAATAAAAGCAATGGCATTGATTTCCTATTGTCAGTGCATGAAAAATCATGGGAACACAGTGACCTTGGGAATTGATCAGAAGGCAAAAAGTTCTGTCATTTCTGCTTCAAATAGCACCAGTTTCTCCTCCAAAATCTATGCACTTCCCATATTACTCCATTATTATTTGAATCCTATATGAAATGGTCATACAGTACCCTCTGTGACCCCCAACCCCAGGAAAAAAGAAAAATGTTTTCCATTCATGTTTTATTTATTGCTAGCCAATCCATCTGAGAAAAGTATGCATGTTTAAATGTATCTTCTCCCCAGCATTTCCTTGTAAGTCGTACTTCCTCATGTCTTGCTATGGGGAATCTAGTGCCTGTGGCATATAGGGCTCATCCCCCACCACAAAGTTTTAGTCACTCCATTGCCCACAGATTCCTTCCAGAGTTCGGCAAGTCACCCACAGTGCATGTCATGAGCTTACAAAAGCATGGGTGCCAGTGGCATCTACAGCTGTTCCTTTCTTATTCCAGACCCCAGGGGGTTGCAGTGGTGCCCTCCCCACCATGAGTAGGTGGTGTATGCGCTTCTCTGTTTCACGCTCCAACATACTGCAAATAAAGCCGCTCCTTCAAGGGGGCCATGCCTTCATGTCCACACACATTCTCAAAGCTGTGCAGCCATGTGGCACCAGCCCATTATGGCGTGTGTAGGGATATGGACTTTGGTCCCCTGCTCTTTCCTCTGTTGTAATCCCAAGGGCTAGGCAAAGTGCAAATACAAGAGAATTAGTTCACAGGCTCATGTACAATTAAGGTTAAGATCCCTTCTTTCCTTCCAGGACCATCACAGTGCTTGGCGTATAGTAAGTACTCCCTCCTTAGCGAGTGATAACTGCTATCCTGGAGTGAGTGTATGCATGCCTACTGCCCTGTTCCTTTAGGATCATTTTTTCCCCCTTGAGATGCAGAGTTTTGGTGGATCCAGCCAGCCACTCCTCAGACATGCCCAAATTTGCCTGATCCATAGGGTGTACACAGCTTAGGCACTCCAGCTGCAACCTCCGTTTATATAAGCAAAAAGTTCAAGTACTATTTTGGAAAACTTGAAAGGCAGATTCGTATTTTCCTAGATTCTGGTTGGTTGTTACTTTATTTTCTCTTCCATGCCCTACAAATGTCCTACTGTGCTCTCTCCCCGCCCCCTACTTGAGTGCCTGTGCTTGTGTGGAGCACAGACGTCTGAGACACCCAGACTGAAGAAGTGAGAGTAAGGAGCACCTTCTTAGGAAGTGCTCCACACCAGGTGTGGTGTCCACAGACGAACAGCGGGTGTGGAGACAGCAGGGCGAAGCAGGACAAGCGGAGTGGTCTTGAATTTCAACGCTGGGTGGCCAGTGGTTCCCCATTGATCTGATTGATCAGTATCATAATCTCATCAGCAATTTAAAATTAATGGCAGCCCTGGTTGGTATGCTCAATGGTTAGAGTGTCTGCCTGGTCAAGGGCATGTACCTGGGTTGCAGGTTCACTCCCCACCCCACCCCACCCCGTCGGGCGCATGCGTGCGGGAGGCAACCAGTCCATGTGTCTCTCTCACATTGATGTTGCTCTCTCTCTCCCCCTCCCTTCCTCCCTCCCACTCTCTCTGAAAAAGCAGTGAAAAAAATATCCTCAGGTGAGGGTTAACAAAAATAAAAAATAAATAGAAATAATGACAGATAATCAGTCCCCAACCTTCAGACGCTGATTAAGAAGGTCTGAAGTAGGGCGCAGGGATGTTTATTTTTAGTTATAGTTTACTTTTAATTCTGCAGGACGTTTGGATGTTCATTCAGGGTTGGGAACGACAGCAGCAGAGCTTCCTACTCCCTCTGTGCTAAGGGCTGTCAGAGTTCTTGGCGTGGGGGCCAGCAGCCAAGGCGACAGTTTGTCTTTCATTTATCAAGCTTTTGCCAAAGCCCTACTCTGGATCAGATACGATGTTTAGTGTTAGAGATAAAATCGTGGAAATAAGGCCAATCTCCGCCTGCAGGACTTTGTAATCTAGTAGGGAACACCAGATTGCTGCATCTGGTTGGGCAGGAGGTGCACCACATCATGTTCTCTAGGACGTGCCAACCACATCAGGATCATCGTGGATTCGTGTATTTATTATGGCATTTTTCTGGCAAATGACAGTAAGGATCTTGAGGAAGGGATGCCCTTCAGAATTCACACAGGGATACCTTCTGACCACCCTGCAACCTGAGTGACAGCCTGGAGTACTGATGACTATGGTAGAATATGGCGAGTGCTATGGTGGATGCATGGCATTCCTGCCATGAGGACATATAGGAGAAGCACTTAGCTCAGACTGCAGGATCCAGGAGGCTTCCTGGAAGAAGAGAGCCAATGTTTGAAGGACGCGGAGGGCTGAGCTAAGCAATTAAGAGTTGGGATGTTGCGCCAGGCAGAAAGAATGACACAGCAAAGATCCGGAGACTGGGAAAGGCAATCATCTGGGTCACTGAAGTTCAGTGAGCCAGTGTAAGGTGAGGCTGATAGGAGATGGGGTGGGAGAGGATGGCAGAGTCCAGGACAAAGGGACTCACAGTGCAGTGCTAAGGAGTTTGGACTTGATTAATGCTGTAGACAGCAGGGAGCCGTAAGTCATGTTTTAAAATAATACCATTCTTTTCCTTAATATATATGTTATATATGTTTCTTTATTTTATGTATATATGCATATATAGCAGAAATAAATCACCCATGAC